GCCAGATTGTCATAGCAAAGTCAGAATTACCTCCTCTCCTAGGTTCACGAAACGGTCGTCCATAAAATGCATTGCTGTTCTGTTGTAAGTAATCTTAAAGATTCCTAAATGCATCTACTTTCGGAAGGCCAAATAAAGTGCTTTTGCTTTCGCCTAGAAACACACAGCGTCTCCCTGACATGGCTGCTTCAACACTAACTGCGGTTACTGAAACCACGCCTTCTTTCTTTGCATGTAGTGAGGTAGATATGTGTGGGCGAGTCTTAACTTTGATAAAGAATATCTCTTTGGTTTTTAGACTTTAGTCTTTGCAACTTTAGGGATCTTATCTATTCACGAACAGCTTGTAACACTCCAAAGAGAAAGGAAAACTTGAAATCGCATCATATGACCCCTTTAAGTCACTGGGGTATATTTCTAGCAATAGCCAAAAAAATACATTGTATGGGTCAAAATGATTGATTTTTCTTTTATGCCAAAAATCATTAGGATATTAAGTAAAGATAATGTTCCATGAAGATATTTTGTAAATTTCCTATCATAAACATATAAAACTTAATTTTTGATTAGTAATATGCATTGCTAAAAACTTCATTTGGATAACTTTAAAGGCGATTTTCTCAATAGTTTGATTTTTTTTGCACACTCAGATTCCAGACTTTCAAATAGTTGTATCTCGGCCAAATATTTGTTCTATCCTAACAAACCATTCATCAATGAAAAGCTTATTTATTTAGCTTCAGATGATGTATAAATCTTAATTTTGAAAAATTGACCCTTTTTGTTTTTTTTTTGGTTTTGTGGTCCAGGGTCACATATGGTTTAATTTAATATATAAAATCAATATTATAAAAATATTGTAGATCCCATTATGTACACTGTGTTAATTATCCAGCTTTAAAAAAATTATTTTAAATAAATACTAAAGCTGTGCTATTTTAGTATTATTCATATATTTTAGATTTAATACTTAGCTTTAGCTTTATTTGAATTTAGTTTGAGTCATTTCAAGTTTTTGTACATCACAGTTTTTTTATCTAATATTTGTTTTTCTTTTTTAAGCTTTATTTTAATTAACAAATTTTGTATTAGTTTTCATTAACAATAACCACTGTACTATACCTCACCTTCCTAGCCCCTGTATTGCTGCAACAAGCATTAATCATTTTTACAACTTTGTTTTCATCCCTCTTAGTTCAATTCTAACTGGGACATAATAACACAGCCAAGAAAAACAACACTCAGATCTCCATATTGTAAACACTCGGTTCACTGCACACCTTCACAGCAGCAGCTGAACATGTGTCATCTTTTGAAGTCACTTTCCCCTTGACACAAGCAGCGTGAATTCTGAAGCGGCAGCAAGTTGGGACAGCTGAAGAAAGAAGCCGTGGGTCTGTCACGCACAGCTGTCCCAGCCAGGGTGAGGCAAAATACTCTCCGCCTCCCGCCTCTTTCACTCAAGACACACTTGCCAACTGCAGTCGGCCAAACTGACACGGATGATACAGGGCAGGGTCTCAAGGTCAAGAGGAGCGATCCTGCTTCAAAAGAGAACTTCAGAAGCATTCTGCCACTTCATATACACTGAACAAAATTATAAACGCAACACTTTTGTTTTTGCCCCCATTTTTCATGAGCTGAACTCAAAGATCTAAGACTTTTTCTATGTACACAAAAGGCCTATTTCTCTCAAATATTGTTCACAAATCTGTCTAAATCTGTGTTAGTGAGCACTTCTCCTTTGCCGAGATAATCCATCCACCTCACAGGTGTGGCATATCAAGATGCTGATTAGACAGCATGATTATTGCACAGGTGTGCCTTAGGTTGGCCACAATAAAAGGCAACTCTAAAATGTGCACTTTTACTGTATTGGGGGGTCCGGGGGGGTCTGAAAACCAGTCAGTATCTAGTGTGACCACCATTTGCTAGGCCTGTCGCAATAATCAATATATCGACTTATTGCGCAATATATGTACATGACCTCAATCATTTTTGGTGACGCAATATATCGCCCATTATATTTACTTAAAAATTAATGTCACCATGTTTTCTACATTCCACTTGCGTCTGTGTCTTTTGCAGCTTATCGTACATAACGTGGTGTAGTCATGAGGTGCTAGTTAAAATTTTAAAAATGCTTCTACAAAAAAAAAAGTTTCATCTGCAGATATGGCCTTGTTTGGGATATGTGCCTTTGTGCATACGGGCATCTGACTGATAAGTAGTGATTGTGTTTTTCAGCAATAGTGTGCACCCTTAATTTACAGAGAAAAGAAGGTCAGGGAAAAATCTGTAGATGGAAAAATCTCCATACAAGTTCTTTGTGCATTTTTCTTTTTTTCTACTTGTTACTTTGCATGTTCTGTTAGAAAATGTTTATTTACTATTTATTCAGGTTTTTTAAAGGGATGGCTAACCCAAAAATGAAAATTTGATGTTTATCTGCTTACCCCCAGGGCATCCAGGATGTAGGTGACTTTGTTTCTTCATTAGAACACAAACAAAGATTTTAAACTCAAACCGTTGCAGTCTGTCAGTCATATAATGTAAGTGAATGGGAATCACGGCTTTGAGAGTCAAAAAAACTTTTGAGAGATAGGTGGCGGTAATGCACTTATAAGTCTGCGATCCGCCATAAAGCAAGAAGAAGACGCGTCACGCGCCGGCTGTTGAGAACGCGCTCGGGACAGTTCAAAGCCGTGATTCCCATTCACTTACATTATATGACTGACAGACTGCAACGGTTTGAGTTTAAAATCTTTGTTTGTGTTCTAATGAAGAAACAAAGTCACCTACATCTTAGATGCCCTGGGGGTAAGCAGATAAACACCAAATTTTCATTTTTGGGTAAACTATCCCTTTAAGGCATCTAATATTTTGATACTTAATTTCCATGATCTAAATATTCTTAAAAATTAAAAGTTTGTTGTCATTTGGAAGTGTGTAGGCCTTCTTGCATTATTATGCAGTTACATTATGATTATATATTCAGTGGCATAAAATGGTCTTTAAAAATGACAATATCATCGCTTATCGCAATTATTTCTGGGGCAATATATCGCACAACAAAAAGTTGTTATCGTGACAGGCCTACCATTTGCCTCACGCAGTGCAAGAGTTGATCAGGTTGTTGATTGTGGCCTGTGGAATGTTGGTCCACTCCTCTTCAATGGCTGTGCGAAGTTGCTGGATATTGGCAGGAACTGGAACACGCTGTCGTATACGCCGATCCAGAGCATCCTAAACATGCTCAATGGGTGACATGTCCGGTGAGTATGCTGGCCATGCAAGAACTGGGATGTTTTCAGCTTCCAGGGAT